TCCCAAAACCCCAAAACCCCAAAACCCCGAAAGACCTTTGAATTCTTATAATAAATGATAAAATTTAAATGAATTGCTTATAAAATATACTTCATTATAGACACTAATTAGTAATGGACAAAAAGAAAAGAGAATATGATCCAAGATAAAGCTTTGACTCAGATTTAGAGTGTTTAATACCTTCTGAGACCATTGATGATTTTGCGAAGATAAATTTGAATTTGGAAAGGAATAAATCAAAACTGGATGAGTACAATTATCATCAAATTTATAATAACAAAAACCCTCTAGTATGCAATAAAGGGAGTCCGAGCATGAGGAAAAAAGATAGTAGCAATTTTTAGAGCATGTTTTAGGCAATAAATTAAATTAAGGAAAATATGATTCAGAAATAGACTACGAACATAGAGTCAACTGCAATGGAAGGTTCAGCTAAAAATAACATAAATAATGACGGATTTAAAAAGAAATGCACAGGGGATGATCCCTTTGGCTTCGGTGATGATGGAGACTTATTCGGTGAGCTGGACAAATAATGTAAGCCACTTCTCAGAAAAGGGACCTAAATGCCTTAATTCAAAGAAATTAGTTTGGATTTCATTGATGAAGATAAAATAAAAGAACTCTCACCATCAAAGAAAGGATATAGAAAATTTTCCACGTTCTTATAAGGTGAAAAGCAGTTCAATTTCAATAGTCATTATTTACGAGCATAAGAATTCGAAATAGTTAAGGAAGTTGATGAACTTAGTTCTTAGAAGAAAATCTTTGATAAAAAAATTGAAGAATCTAATATTAGCTAAGATCTCTATAGCAATATTAATTTGAACAAAAAGAAAAAACATTCAGATAATTCCATATTGCATAAACTTGCTTAAAAGACATTTTAAAATGAGATATTTGATCCAGTCGAAAATAGCAGGATACAACATGTTCAAAATACAGCAAATAATATACCTGAGGAAAACTCATTACTAAAGCCAATAAAAAACCGAGGATCTTTCAGAAGGAAAACTGTAAGATAAAATCAGTCAGAGCTCTAGATGCCTGGCATGCTAGGAATACAGAAATTAAAGTCAAAGTCAAGAAGTAAAAACAGAAAAAGAAATTCAAGCTAATTTAAGAAAAATAAGCTCAATCCTGATAATATAAAGAATAAGTAATATGATGAATCTGATTTACTAAAACTAAAAAAATGTGAATCTTCAGTAAATTTTGTTGAAGAAAAAGCACAAGAATAAGAACTTCCTCAATTAAAACTTAGTAAAATACACTCGGAGGCACCTAGGCGTCATAACTTAATAATTGAAGATAATAAAGTGTCTAATTAAGACTAAAAGCTCTAGCCCAAAAAGCAAACTACAGTATTTGATAAGATGAAATCTAGAATGCCTTATAACTAAATCTTACTCTCAGATTTAAAATATAAGGATTTTTATGCTGAATCACTCTATGAAGCTATTTTCACTTTCCCCAAATTTTAACGCACTCTATCTAAGAATTACAAGAATGTTTAAATGTCCTACAGAAAAGTCACTAAAAGTAAGTCATTCTTTCAAGCATCCTAAAATCAAATTCTTTTAAGCTAATTGAGCCATTTTAAGCTTATTCATAATTTTAGAGAAGAAGACAATTGTCTTTGATATAGATGAAACTCTAGTCTTAGCCACAACTAATCCAAAAGAACTGAAATCGATAGATGATTAAATATTCATTAAAATGACTAGATTTGGTGGATCAGCTCGAGCATATCTATCTTTTAGACCTTATCTTCATGACATGTTGGATGAACTTTCTAAAGACTTTGAACTGATATTATATACTTGTGGAACAGCTTCTTATGCATAAGTTTTTGCAGAAGCAGTTTAAAAGAAGAGAAAGTATTTTAATCACATTCTTAGCCTTACTCATTGTCTGTATTCTATGGAAAATGAAATGTTCATTAAGGACTTAAAGATTCTTGAAGAGGGAAGATCTCTTAAGGATATAGTAATAGTTGACAATAATATTTAAAGTTTCTTCTTACAATTATCAAATGGAATACCTATTTATGACTATACAGGGGATAAAAATGATGAAGTTTTATTATCTCTCACTGAATACCTAAAATAATTTCTGCATGTTGATGATGTAAGATAAAAAATAGACAAGGATTTTCGCATAAAAGAACTTCTAGAAGAAAAAGCTGACCATTATATGAGTAACTGATAACTTAATAAATGGAGCTATTAAATCAGAATAATTATTAATACTATAGGAAAGATTTTTTAAAACATTTTGCTAATATATTTAAAAGGCATTCATTTTTACTAGATGGGGTTTTGGGGTTTTGGGG